TGAAGTGGGCCAGATTGAAGTCACCTGCGGGCCGTCAGTTGATTGAACCTGCAATAAGGTGTATTAAATATCTGACATGGAAATCTCATGTTAAAAAGTAAAATAGTTTTTGATTGACAGAGCTTTGTATAAATTGTATAATGTAATGATTGTTCCATATTTAATCTATTGTATTGAAGTTTGGGGAAAAGCGTGCAAAACAATTACAAACCCTATTTTTATTTTACAAAAAAAAAGCTACAAGAACTATTAGTAGGAAGTGCTATGGTCACCCAACAAATATATTGTTTTATCACTTCAAATTATTAAAATTTTATGATTTGGTTGAATATAGTATTTTACAAGTGAAGGATAAAGCTCATAAATATATTACCCCCAAATATTCAATTAAAATTTGTTAAAAATGAGTCATTATAACCTTCAGGGAGTGGAAAATTTCCATTTACAACTAGTCTGAAGGAGCTGCGTTGTAATTCAGGGAACAGGATTGTGGAACTGCTTTAATATCACCATAAAATTTTCTAAAACAATTTATATGTTTAAAAAGAAGATTAAGTTAAAATTGTTAGGAAAGTATGGTGCCATGCGAAGGATATCTAATATTTTTTGTTTTCACTTTGGAGATGTTCAAGCCTAAGTTGTTGTTTGTTTTGTTTCTTTTAAATGAATGTATAAATGAATTTAAAACTTTTTTTTAAAACAGCAGCCTGAACATGAGTCTGGTGAGAGCAGATGAGTATGAATACAGCAGTTTATGGGTAAGAACTCAGCAGCACAAATAAAGTGTCAAATCTCCAGTTAAAGAGGGATTAGAGTGATTTTTAATTTTTCTTACAGTGATTTCTCCTGGTTAGGGATTTATGAGTCTAACAGCTTCAAGATAGATGTTCCTCATTCCAGAGGTTCTACACTTGATGCTCCACAAATTCTGCATTTCTCCAATAATATTTAACATTGTTAGTTAGTAAAATAATCACAAAACAAACAATTATGCCCCCCCCTCCTGAAAGCCCCTCTCCCTGTCAGCTCAGACTGCGCTGTCTTGACCTCCCCCTAATCGTCTTGCCTCTGGACATTTGTGAACCATATGATGAAGCAGGCTTCATTGAACAGCTGTGGTGTTTATGAAGCCAAACATGTTCTCAGCTGCACCAGCAGAGTCTGCAGCGTGACGGGGATAATGATCATCATTAATTCTGGACGGGCCCCACAGAGAAGAAGCAGATGCTGAAAACTTCAAATTAGGGCACGAGATGGACAGCAGTGTTTGGACTGTTTGCTCTGATGTCTTCTTATATGTTTGGTCCTTGCTTCATTCCTCATCTGTTCCTCTGCCTATTCAGGAGCAGATATGTTATTAAAGCCTTTCATGCCAGAGGTTTACACTAAACTCACATTATACTGAGAAATACAAAAAAATGTAGCGGTTTTTGTCAAACCTAGTTATGACATCATGCCAGTCTCAGCGCATCGTTATTAAATGACTCTCACCTATTACTGCATAAAGTCAATATCTGTAAAACTGACCGAGTTAAAGCCATTTTTGTGTTGAATAAATTTGATGTGGTGGCCACCTGGAACTGAGTTAGCTCCAAAAGTTATATATATATATATAT